GCTCGGCTAATCTTGGGATGACTTCACCTTTTACTGATACATATATCTATACTTATACCTGTGTGTCTCTTAATGTAGCTCTATATCTCATATTGCTCAGACCGAGGAACCATTCTTTACTTCTCTATTTCATATCCCACACTCAATCCATTGGAAAATACCAGTAGCTTCACTTTCAGACTCTATCTATACAATCCAACCCTATCAGGACCTTTGTGTTAATACTCTCAACAAAGCCACCATCTTCTCTCGCCTAGATTTGGCAAAACCTTCCTGACTGAGCTCCCTGTTGACACCTTGCCTCTTACAGTTTATTCTCAGTGCAGCAACTAGAATCATCTTTATAAAAAAAAAGTCGTCGTGTCACACATCTGCTCAAACCCTCCAATAGCTCCTCACTTCCCTCCGAGCCAAAGCTGATCTTTACTGTTGTCTACAGGTTCTCTGCCAGGTCCTTCCTTCATAACTCTCTGATCTCAGGTTCTATCACTCTCCTCCCCCTGCTCACGTCTCTTCTGTCACCCTAGTCCTGTTCTTCCTACACGACAAGCATGCTTCCACCACGTGACCTTTGCCTGGTCTCTTTTCTCAGAATACTTCCTCCTTAGGAATCCACACTCCTTCCAGCCTTTACCGAAATGTTGTCTTCTTGTTGGGGACTACCCTAAAAGCACCCCTCCCCCAGCATACCCGATTATCCTTATCCTGCTCCCTCCCATCACTTATCATCTTCTGGTAAACTATAAAACGTACACATTGTTGTGCTTATTCTTCCACTCATGAAATGTTAGCTCTGTGAGGGGAGGGATTTTTCAGCATTTGTTTCACTGATATGTTCTCATAATGAGTGCTCAGTAAATATTGGTAGAATGCATGAATGGATATGAAATATCATATAAGCATAAAATGACACCATGCAACAATTTAATAATAATTTAAGTAATAAAGAAAAAGTTGCCGTTGAATCGAATCTGACTGTTGGTGACCTCGTGTGTCAGAGTAGAACTATGCCCCATGGGGTTTTCATTGGCTGATTTTCAGGAGTAGATTGCCAGATCTTTCTTCCTCGGTGCTCCTGGGTGGACTCAAACCTCCAACCTTTTGGTTAGCAGCTGAGCGAGTTAACTGTAGTACCACCTAGGGACAATTTAAGCACAAGCATTAGTTAAATTTTATCACAAGGTTAGTGAAGAAGTTTGGACTTTATTATTTACCGTATTGTAACTTTAGGAGGCTGAGGAACATCCCCCACCAAAACATGCTTCCCCGAATCTTGTCTTTTCCCCTTTGCCCATGCTTCTCCTCTGTCTAAAATTCCTTCCCTGTAAACTTTATTTTTAGTTTTTAAACCTGATTTTTATTGTGGTGAAATACATGTCTCAACAATTTGCTGTTTTAACTAGTCTTCAGTGTACAATTCAGTGACATTAATCACATGTGCCATGCTGTACAATTGTCACCACTCTCCATTAAAAATATGTATGTATTACCCCAAACAGAAACCCAGAGTACCTCTTAGCAACAACGGCCCATTCTCCTCTCCCTACTCCCACTCCCTAGTAACCACAGATAAACTTCGCTCTCTCCGCAGTTCCTGTTACAGGTATTTCATAGAAGTGGTATCACACAGCATTTGTCATTTTGTGTCTGGCTTGCTTCACTCCGTGTCGTGTTTCCAAGATTCATCCATGTTATAACATGAATCAGAACTTCCTTTCTCTTTATGGCTGAGTGATACTTATCCATTCATCTGCTGATGAACACTTGGGCTGTTTCTACCTGTGGTTTTTGTGAAGAGTGAGTGCTACGGTGAACGCTGGTGTCCACACATCTGTCTTGAGTTCCTGCTTCCAAGACTTTTGGGCACATATCTGGGAGTGGAGCTGCCTTCCCCTCTCTTATTGATTTGGCTATTTTCTAATCATTTT